ACTTTCTATTTACATAAGCATAAGCAAATTTGTTATCTGAAGGTACCTTTATAGCAATGTGTGTGCAGTCGGCTCCGATTACATTGGGAAAACCGGACATCGCTGCAAATTGCTTTTTAATGTTCGCCTGTTCAACCACAGTGTAAGGAAATTTTATATATCTGGGTGACAAGCGGATTATGCCGTCCCATACAGCCGGCATGGCGCGACTTGGTGTTGACTGAGAAATACCCGATCGGTCCGCAAGTTCTCACTTAAAAGCACCTGTCGCTAAGAACCCGCGAGTGGACAGAACTTGTAAAGGAACAGATATAGCACAATTCCTCACTATTTGTTTTTGCAATGCTGGCCGCAGTTCAGCACGCAGCTCCAAAAGGATTCCTGTTGAAAATCTGAATCAACTTAGAAGCCAGTCATCATCATGGGCTAAGAAATCGCTGTGATCCCTGAATATGTGCTCTCTTTTAATTCTTTCATAAGCTATGTCTTCCAATAATGCAAGAGCTGCCATGGTAGTTGCAATAATTCAGTCATTTTCTATACCGTTTTATTGTTACAAGTTGATTAAAAATCAGGTGTGTACATTTGTAAACCACATACAATTAATGTCAGTGAATGCAATAAAGTCAGCGTCATGATTGCGAATTTAAAAAGAGAAGCCACAGTAGCAATGACCTGCTCCTGAGTGCCGTCCGTTTACAAAACCGAGTAGAAATGTGCGTACATCATGTCTGAAGCTGCCGTGAGAATGTGCGCAGCGGTGCTCTGTTTCTCAATGTGAGCATGAAAACAGACATACACATCGTTTATACATGAGGCCTCTGGTCTTCAAGAAAACCAAAGCTAATCTCATGTAAAGTTTACATACAAAAGGGACAAGGCCTTGTTGGTCAGAGTCTTTCTTATCATGGTGGTTTAATCAAACACAGTTGCTGGCTGGCCCAGACATAAGCCATCCATTATGTACCTGTGTGCCACCTATATGGGCTTGGAATCTGCACAGCAAATGTGTCAGTGTTAAATTAACACTGTTAGACTGCTTAACATAATTATTTAACAGGGTTGAAAAAAGGTGAGAACCATAGTAATGATTGAAGGAGTGTATTTCTGCTAAACCAGATATAGTGGGTACTTCCTCATTACTGTTAGGCCACAACTTGTGATAGAAGAACAAATCAAATCACTATGCTCATTTAATATTAAGATTTTCATTAAGATTAATTTTTAGAAACCCACCACGATTGAGGATGGTATGGAACTGATATTAGTCTTTATCACAGTTTTTGTTCTTACGGTTGCCTGTATGCTAATTGCTTTGAGCAGTTTAGATGCTATATATGTGCATTCCCAACAGAATCTCAGTTGTAGAGCTGTGTAAGATCCTGGTGATCTTCCTGGAGCACTGATTGATTGGTTTTCTGTGGTGTTTTTTTTACTAGCCAAAGGCTTCTTCAGTTAAGTCATATAGCCTAAACCATCCCACCTGGTACCATGGGGTTATAACTGTCACACCAGAGCATGAGAAATGATTTCTATGGTTTTTGGTCTCTTGCCTTATTCATCACAATCACGGTAGATTTTAAAAATAATCTATTAAGTAAAAAACAGTACTGTGTCATGCTATGCAAATATACATCCAGTATCATTGGTCTACAGAGGAGTGGGTGGTACCAGGAGCTGCACAGAAAAGGGTATCATAACTGTCCTAACAACTTTCCACTTATGTTAATCATCCAAGGGCAGGACCAGCAGTCACACATATATAAAATATATTATATTATATTGTTATATTTCGACGTGAGATCAGCATAGCGGCAATGCTGTTCCTGCTTGCTCACAGGAGTCATTGAAATCTCAGCATCATATTTACGTTGAAACAACGTTGTCAACATAAAGACAGGATTTCAACTGTCATTCAACGTTGTGACAATGTCGGATGCCTGCTGGGTTACTTGTGAATAGAAAAATAAAACTGTTGAGATCAATTCTCACCTTTAATTAAAGCAATTATTTCATCTTAAATTATTGTTCTATCTTGTTTTATGAAATCAGCCATGTAAACTTGTTTTATGTGTTTTTAGTCTTGTAGAGACAAGGAGGCAGAAATTGTTCTGACGCAAAAAGGTGTGGCAAAGCAGTGTATATAACGTGTCTGTCTTTCAATTTAAGTGAAACTGAAACTACAGCAAAAATTTGATTCACTGGTCTGAAGTGACTTTACTCTGAAGTGGATTTTCAGTACAAGAGGTAAGTGTGCTACTCTATGGTCTCATTCTCTCTCATTCGGTTTTGAATATAACATAGAATTTTCATAATAAAACATGATTAAAATTAAACTTAATATCTGAATTAACATGGACTGTAGTCAAATTTAGTTTTCTGTCTTGTAATAAAACTGATACCAAATTGTTCTAGCTTGTACATAAAACATCTTCTTATTAAAGCAAATTTACTGGTTTGCAGAGGAAAGTATGGCATACATGGATGGATTTGCAGATGACTTCTGCTCACTTTTTGAATCCTATTTGGAGTGTGACATAAGGAGCGGTAGTAGGATGTACATCATGTACCATGGTACCACAAAAACAGCCGCATTAAATATTAAAAAGCATGGATTTCAGCGGTCCAAAGATGGCATGCTTGGACCTGGAGTCTATATCAGTCGGAGCTTTGAGAAGGCCCAAAGATACCCAATAAATCTGCCTGTCAATGAGCAGCGAGCTGTACTCAAGCTGAGGGTTCGAGTAGGAAAAGTAAAGAAGATCGACCGGCAGGGACACCCCCTCCAAAAAACCTGGCATCAGCATGGATATGACACAGCCTGGGTGCCACCCAACTGCGGAATGGTTCCTAGCGGCTTGGAGGAAGATTGTGTTTGGGATCCCAGGAGGATCGAAGTTTTAGATATAATCACATTATAGTTCTTTATACTCTTCTCTTGTGGAACATAAATGTAATTTTGCAATTGTTAATCTAATTGTATTACTCATCTTTTTATTCTCTGTCACTTCCTTGTTTTTGGTAGTTTAAGAAATGCGTTGTTTTGATCAAATAAAATAATCTTCTGAGGAGGTTGGTTTCTTTAGCAAGATCCTGTTGATCTTTGAATAAAAATACATACAAGTATCTCAGCATCCAGTTTTATTTTGTGTTTTTTGTTGTGCCTCTGCACTTTACTGTTTGTCCTATCCGGTCATGTCTTGTCGTGTCTTGTCTGCGCATGGGACAGTGAGGAACGTAATTTCGATTTCTTTGTATGTCTAGTACATGTGAAGAAATTGACAATAAAGCTGACTTTGACTTTGACTTTATTATATGGATGGATGGATGGATGAAAATGGAATGTATGGATAAATGTAGGAAGACAATAATAAAAAACACAATATGAATATGGCAAATGTGCCAGTGTTAAATTAATACTGCATGGTGTTTATATGGGTCCACACCATTCAGTGTTACCTTTCACACTTTACAGTGTGTTTTGAGTGTTGTTTTTAAAGAGTTAATCTTTATTAACTCTAATAGTGTTCAATTTACACCATAGGGTGTTGTCGATGAGTCTCCACCTCCATATATCTGTCCATTTTAATATGCGCACAAGAAGTCATGAGGATCAGAAGAGCCATCCCAGGTTTACCCACCATCATGTGAAATACTCTGACCAAAAAGGACCATACAGCTTTTTGTTGTTTTGTGTTGAAGTTTGGCTGGCTCAGGTCTGAATGATCTTAAATATTAAAGAGCTGTGGTGTATCTATGTGGTTTTGTAGTGTGTTGGCATCAAAATAAAGAGGAAAAACTCTTGGAAACTTACAGGGTTTATTTCTAGAGTGGTATATATTTTAATGGTAGGGTGGTGTGTTTGGTTGTCAGTCCTGACCTGGCGTGATCAATATATGCGGAAAGGTTTCAGGACTGCTGTGATACCTTTTTCTGTGCAGCTCTTGATACCGCCCCCTCCCCTGTAGATCAATGGTGCAGGATGTATATTTGCATAGCATGACACAGTACAGTTTTTGACTTAACTCTATGGAGGGCACCAGGGGCCCCTTGCATGGGGGGGCATTTCTTCCCTCTTTGGAATAATTACCTTATAA